CGAACCGCCTGGTCCCACGTCGCAGCACAAATGAGCCAGTCGTCCAGATATGGGAGGATCCTCAATCCCTGTGCCTGCAGAGGAGAGAGGGCCGCTGCAACACATCGGGTGAACACCCTGGGGGACAGTGAAAGTCCGAACGGGAGGACCCTGAACTGGAAATGTCTCCCTTGAAAAGCAAAACGAAGAAACCGCCAATGGGGCGGAGCGATCGGAACGTGAAAATAAGCATCCCTGAGATCTATGGAAGTGAACCAATCGCCCGGGGAAATCGCCTGCAACACTTCCTTGGTGGTCAGCATATGAAAGGGCATGGCCTTCAAGTACACATTCAGGCCTCTGAGGTCCAAGACTGGACGCAGGCCCCCGGTCTTCTTCGGAACCAGAAAATACGTGGAATAAAAGCCCCCTGGATCCAGCAGGGGGTCCACAGGCACTATAGCACCCTTGGCCAGCAAGGTGCAGATTTCCTGGTTCAGTGCCTGTGCCTTCACCGGGTCGTGGATCACAGTCATCCTGACCCGGCCAGGGATAGGTGGCCGGCGGCGGAATTGAAGACGGTACCCCCGGGACAGGGTGGACAACACCCACAAGTCCGGGGTGTGGGCAGCCCAGAAGCTGAGCTGTCCCGGGGAAAAATAACCGACCGCCGGCCCTAAGGCATCATCTGCGGGTCCCCCGGCCCTTCGAAGGCCCGGGAGGACGCCGGCCAGACTGCGCGGCTCGAAAGGGATGAAAGGACCTTGTCCCAGCCTGGTCTCGAGCTCTGTTCCTCCGATCTAGAGCAGGTCTCTGGACCGATCTCTGACCTGGTAATAGACCCTGGGGCTCAGTGGGAGAAGGAGAAGGCACTAAGGACCTCCGTGAAGGACCTGCAGCTGCCCAGGTGCTTACTGGCTGGCGATCACGTCTGTGAAGCCCTGCCAGCTGTTGCCTCGTTCTAGAGGCCTGAGCCGTACGGTCCAAGGCGTCCAGTGCCGCAGAACCAAAAAGCTCCCCCGGGACCACAGGCAGGGCCCGGAGGGTCCTCCTACAAGGCTCAGTTAGTGGTGACTGCGCCAACCAGACCTGGCGGCGAGCATGAACCAGTGTGGAGAGTGTGCGTCCAAGTTCCCTCGTCATAAGAGCAAAGGCCTGCAGAGATGCATCAACCAGGCCTTGCGTGGCATGATCCAGTGGAACAGATTCCAAGGAGGAAGACAGGGCCAGCATAAGATGGGAGAGAGAGTTCCCAATCCGGCCCATGCGGGCCCCAGAGTCATAGGCCTTGCAGAGAAGGTCGTCGGTAATACGGCACTGAGGACGCGGACAACGGGCATTGGGCCGCAAGGCCTCATCAGGCGGGATTATAAGAGAGGCAATGCCCGGTTCCACCGCTGGCATCTGCCCTAAGCCAACCTTGGGTGCCTCCTGCATAGCTGCCAGGACCCTGCCATCCGTCGTCAGACGTGAAAACGCCTCGGTGTCTGACCAGCAAGCATGCAGTTCCCGCACATACTCCGCCGAGGGAGGAACCACAAAGGCAGTCTCTGACCTACTGCGCCTAAAGAAGGCGCTGGAGGCCGCAGGCTGGGCCTGAGGAACACTAATTTGTAAACGGGCAAGAGCCGTTCGAATAGCGGATGTCACAGACTCCCCCATATCCTCCTGGGAGGCAATGGAGTCCGACCCAGAGGCCCCGGAGCCCAGCTCTGGAAGGTCCTCACAGAAATGGGTGCCAGAGGCCGCCACAGAAACAGCATCGTCGTCATTGACTGACGTTTCATCCTGCTCGGTAGGGAGAGCCGTGCCACGATCACCAGCAGTCTGAAAGGACTGGAGGAGGGCTCTCATTTGGGCCAGCTCAGCAGTGAGATGATCCACTCTCGTGGACAACCTCCCTGCATCGGTCCGTCTAGCACGCTTTGTCGGTACCGAAGGTGCAGCCGCAGTAGAACGTTTGCACACCGCTTTCTCCATCGGCAAACGAGCACGCGGCGAAGCGCCCGCCCAGTCGGTAGGCTGCTCCAGTGCAGCCAACCGATCCAGTCTGACCGACCGGGGCATGACGCGACAGTTGGGGCAAGCGTCATCTGACAGCGCCTCCCGGAGATGTTCCACACCGAGGCAGGAGGGACACAAGTCATGCCCGTCATCGGGCTGAAGTGGAGCCAGACAGGTCGAGCAACATAAACTATCCAGCATCATACTGCTGAAAGGCGTGATCAGCCCGCTACCAAGGACAAGTCAACACGAGCAGGAAACGCTACTGGCGACTCGATTATTAACTAAAGATGAACTCAGCACGAGCAGAGACGCCACTGGTGAGTTTAGGCAAACAAACCATAGAAGAACCCAACGCGAGCGGAAACGCTACTGGTGGGCTCAGGCAAACAAACTGAAAACAACTCAGCGCGAGCAGAAACGCCACTGGTGAGTGTAGATAAACAAACTATAGAAGAACCCAACGCGAGCAGAAACGCTACTGGTGGGCTTAGGCAAACAAACTGAAAACAACTCAGCGCGAGCAGAAACGCCACTGGTGAGTGTAGATAAACAAACCATAGAAGAACCCAACGCGAGCAGAAACGCTACTGGTGGGCTTAGGCAAACAAACTGAAAACAACTCAGCGCGAGCAGAAACGCTACTGGTGAGTGTAGATAAACAAACTATAGAAGAACCCAACGCGAGCAGAAACGCTACTGGTGGGCTTAGGCAAACAAACTGAAAACAACTCAGCGCGAGCAGAAACGCTACCGTGAGTCAAAAGAGCCACAAAATTAACGTGGCAAATCAAAGCGAACAGTAAACTACTGCTGAGAAAAGAACGAAAACTTACCAGTCACCGCAGATCTGGTAAGGTGAAAGCAGCTTGTGCAGCCCCTGGAGGGCGAGACTTACCCGCAGCTCCGACCAAACCCGGTCACGGGGCTACCAGCAACAAGCAGCCAGGAAACTAGTGGTATACACAGAAGCAAGCAGCTTCACACGACCACACTCCTGTACTCAACACACCTGCGCGCGAGAAGAACAAAAGGGATTGATTGCCGGGTGCCACGTGACTATATAGAGTCACGTGGGTCCCCGGCAGGTCACAGCTGACTTTGTTGTCATTAATACTCGACCTGCGCATGCGCATGAATGATCATTCAGTGCTTGAAGCACCGCCTCTGGCGGTCAGTAGGGATGAAATAGAACATAGATCTAGAACAATAGGCAGCTGTGAGACCTGGAGGTCTGTGTCCAAAGATGTTCACAGAAGGTTAGGTGGAAGGAGGAAATGTGGTAGGAAAGTTGCCTAGCAACAGGGATGACAGCAGCCTTGTCAGGAAGAAAATTCAGGAAGCTTGAAACGGAGCGGAGTGAATCAGAACTTTATGACCTTCAGAACCGCATGTTCATCTCATCCATGGCGGTGATGGAACCCAGAACTCATTTATTTCAGACAGTTCTGCTAAGATCCATTTATTATTTTGCTTCTCTAAGACAGACTTTGGGGTTTTCTGTCTCTGGAAGTCATAATTATTCATCCAAGGTTTGAAAGTCTCCTCTTATGGACCGTGTTTCTGAGGGGACAGAGTTAGAACGTGTCCAGCGCGGCTCCCATGAGGACGGGTTTACTGTGTCCTCTTCCTGGGCTGCAGGAGAAGCTGCACCAGGTGACGGCACGCCCAGGTGTGTCCAGACCTGGGCTCATGCTGAGGAAACACCTGCAAGTGTCTCGCTGTCCTAACTTGTCCTGAAATGTTCAGAATGGCTCGGCGTGATGGACTAAAAAACTAAATCGATTCAGAATTAGTTTCTACTTAAAATCTGCCATTTCTAGTGAGGAATATAAATGTTTGGCTGGATAGTCGTAGATAAAGGTTTGATTTAACTGATCCGTGTAGAACCTGAGCAGCTCCCTAAGCGGATATGAACCAGTTTGGATCGCTCCCTCCTCTGAATGAAACCAGTCCGCTGCTGAAGATGGACCTCTGGTTCTGATTTTCTCCTGTTCCCTCGGTTATCAGAGGTCAGGAAGCGTTCTGGCTTCCTGTCCGGGTTAGAGAGGCGTCACAGCTGGATCCAGAGGTTCAGTTCTGGTCTGAGGAGCTGCTTGACTCGTTTTAAAGACTCCACCGAGTTCTGGTCCAGAGAGTGGAAGGAATGGGGGTCTGTTCCTTTAAACCTGCTCTTCATGGAGCTGTTTGATGTTACCATGGTCCCACTCAGAGTGGCCCCACTCCTCCCAGTAAGGGGGGGTAAGGGTCCTGTCACCTTTTTTCACAGCCACATCATTGTGATGGTGCCAGTTTGGTTCATGCTGGTTTTCCCTCAGAGCTCCTGAAAGACGTTTTTCCCTGCAGCTCCTGGAAACCACTCTGACTCCCAGCAGCTCCATGGAAACCAGCACTGGTTTCACTGGTGCTGCTCCAGAGCCCCACTTCAGCCAGCAGATCAACCCCAGCAGGGGTGAGCGGTGTCCAGTCTGCTCAGCTCTGCGGCACTGCTTCATGGTCACATGCGGGCGGCGTTGGAGCGCTGATGGACGCTACGCCATGTGATGTTTTTCACAATAAAAGCCTTCAGCAGAACCTTTTCTGTTTTATTGATCCTTTTAATTCAGCGACTCGCTTTCTGAATGACCCTCAGATTCACACATCATAGAACTATCCCCGCCGCAGAATCTGAACTCATGATTCTACCTGTCAGCATCAGCGCCCGCTGGACTGATGGCTTCTGATCCGGTTTATTACCTTACCGAGCCCGTTTGGGTTTAAATCCTCAATGACATGACTGAGGCTTCTACAACTGCCAGCAGGGAGCGCCAGAGAGCAGAGGTCAGGAGGAGGAGGGAGGATCCAAAGAGGAAGGAGTGGTATCCTGGAGGCGGGGCTTAACACAAGGTTCAGAGCTGACAGCAAGAGAGACAGTCAGACTGCTGAGAGACACTTGGACGGATAGAAGGAGGGACAGATAGACGGAGGCAGAGAGACGGAGGCAGAGAGACGGAGGGACAGACAGACGGAGGCAGAGAGACAGAGGGACAGACAGACGGAGGGACAGACAGACGGAGGGACAGACAGACGGGGGCAGAGAGAAGATGGTCTCAGACTGGAGTCCGCTGCTCCTGCCAGTACTCTGCAGACGGCATGGTAAGACCTTCACACTCTCTGCTGCACATAGAGCCACAGCTGGACCGGGTCGGACCGGGCTGAGGTGGAGCTCCAGCTGGACCGGGTCGGACCGGGCTGAGGTGGAGCTCCAGCTGGACCGGGTCGGACCGGGCTGAGGTGGAGCTCCAGCTGGACCGGGTCGGACCGGGCTGAGGTGGAGCTCCAGCTGGACCGGGTCAGACCGGGCTGAGGTGGAGCTCCAGCTGGACCGGGTCGGACCGGGCTGAGGTGGAGCTCCAGCTGGACCGGGTCGGACCGGGCTGAGGTGGAGCTCCAGCCGGACCGGGTCGGACCGGGCTGAGGTGGAGCTCCAGCCGGACCGGGTCGGATCGGGCTGAGGGGGAGCTCCAGCCGGACCGGGTCGGATCGGGCTGAGGGGGAGCTCCAGCCGGACCGGGTCGGATCGGGCTGAGGGGGAGCTCCAGCCGGACCGGGTCGGACCGGGCTGAGGTGGAGCTCCAGCCGGACCGGGTCGGACCGGGCTGAGGTGGAGCTCCAGCCGGACCGGGTCGGACCGGGCTGAGGTGGAGCTCCAGCCGGACCGGGTCGGACCGGGCTGAGGTGGAGCTCCAGCCGGACCGGGTCGGACCGGGCTGAGGTGGAGCTCCAGCCGGACCGGGTCGGACCGGGCTGAGGGGGAGCTCCAGCCGGACCGGGTCGGATCGGGCTGAGGGGGAGCTCCAGCCGGACCGGGTCGGACCGGGCTGAGGGGGAGCTCCAGCCGGACCGGGTCGGATCGGGCTGAGGGGGAGCTCCAGCCGGACCGGGCTGAGGTGGAGCTCCAGCCGGACCGGGTTGGATCGGGCTGAGGGGGAGCTCCAGCCGGACCGGGTCGGATCGGGCTGAGGTGGAGCTCCAGCTGGACCGGGTCAGACCGGGCTGAGGGGGAGCTCCAGCTGGACCGGGTCAGACCGGGCTGAGGGGGAGCTCCAGCCGGACCGGGCTGAGGGGGAGCTCCAGCCGGACCGGGTTGGATCGGGCTGAGGGGGAGCTCCAGCTGGACCGGGCTGAGGGGGAGCTCCAGCCGGACCGGGTTGGATCGGGCTGAGGGGGAGCTCCAGCTGGACCGGGCTGAGGGGGAGCTCCAGCCGGACCGGGTTGGACCGGGCTGAGGTGGAGCTACAGCCGGACCGGGTCGGACCGGGCTGAGGTGGAGCTCCAGCTGGACCGGGTCGGACCGGGCTGAGGTGGAGCTCCAGCTGGACCGGGTTGGATCGGGCTGAGGTGGAGCTCCAGCTGGACCGGGTTGGATCGGGCTGAGGGGGAGCTCCAGCCGGACCGGGTCGGACCGGACCGGGCTGAGGGGGAGCTCCAGCCGGACCGGGTTGGATCGGGCTGAGGGGGAGCTCCAGCTGGACCGGGCTGAGGGGGAGCTCCAGCCGGACCGGGTTGGATCGGGCTGAGGGGGAGCTCCAGCTGGACCGGGCTGAGGTGGAGCTCCAGCCGGACCGGGTTGGACCGGGCTGAGGTGGAGCTACAGCCGGACCGGGTCGGACCGGGCTGAGGTGGAGCTCCAGCTGGACCGGGTCGGACCGGGCTGAGGTGGAGCTCCAGCTGGACCGGGTTGGATCGGGCTGAGGTGGAGCTCCAGCTGGACCGGGTTGGATCGGGCTGAGGGGGAGCTCCAGCCGGACCGGGTCGGACCGGGCTGAGGGGGAGCTCCAGCCGGACCGGGTTGGATCGGGCTGAGGGGGAGCTCCAGCTGGACCGGGCTGAGGGGGAGCTCCAGCCGGACTGGGTTGGACCGGGCTGAGGTGGAGCTCCAGCTGGACCGGGTCGGACCGGGCTGAGGTGGAGCTCCAGCTGGACCGGGTCGGACCGGGCTGAGGTGGAGCTCCAGCTGGACCGGGTCGGATCGGGCTGAGGGGGAGCTCCAGCCGGACCGGGTTGGACCGGGCTGAGGGGGAGCTCCAGCCGGACTGGGTTGGACCGGGCTGAGGTGGAGCTCCAGCTGGACCGGGTCGGATCGGGCTGAGGGGGAGCTCCAGCCGGACCGGGTCGGACCGGGCTGAGGGGGAGCTCCAGCTGGACCGAGTCGGACCGGGCTGAGGGGGAGCTCCAGCTGGGGGCTTTGGGTCAGAGGAGGGGCAGCGGGGGTGTTAGGTTCCATTGGGGGTGGGGGCACAGAGAGGTGCAGCAGCAGGTTGAGCTGAACTCTGACTACAGATCCAACACATGAAGCTCGGCGCCGTAGGACCATCAGAACGGATCTGATCAGGATCAGAAGGTGGAACCTGACCCGTTTGGACCGCTCTGCTCTGTGCTCCAGGTCTGCTCTGTGGTCCAGTTCTGCTCTGTGGTCCAGTTCTGCTCTGTGGTCCAGTTCTGCTCTGTGGTCCAGGTCTGCTCTGTGGTCCAGGTCTGCTCTGTGGTCCAGTTCTGCTCTGTGGTCCAGGTCTGCTCTGTGGTCCAGGTCTGCTCTGTGGTCCAGTTCTGCTCTGTGGTCCAGGTCTGCTCTCTGGTCCAGGTCTGCTCTGTGGTCCAGGTCTGCTCTCTGGTCCAGGTCTGCTCTGTGGTCCAGTTCTGCTCTCTGGTCCAGGTCTGCTCTGTGGTCCAGGTCTGCTCTGTGGTCCAGTTCTGCTCTGTGGTCCAGGTCTGCTCTGTGGTCCAGTTCGTGGTCAGCCTCCACCTGTCCTCCCTATTCCTCCACCTGTCCTCCCTCTTCCTCCACCTGTCCTCACTCTTCCTCCACCTGTCCTCCCTATTCCTCCACCTGTCCCCCCTCAGCCTCCACCTGTCCTCCCTCTTCCTCCACCTGTCCTCCCTATTCCTCCACCTGTCCTCCCTCTTCCTCCACCTGTCCTCACTCTTCCTCCACCTTTCCTCCCTATTCCTCCACCTGTCCTCCCTCTTCCTCCACCTGTCCTCACTCTTCCTCCACCTGTCCTCCCTCTTCCTCCACCTGTCCTCCCTATTCCTCGACCTGTCCTCCCTATTCCTCCACCTGTCCTCCCTCTTCCTCCACCTGTCCTCACTCTTCCTCCACCTGTCCTCCCTATTCCTCCACCTGTCCTCCCTCTTCCTCCACCTGTCCTCACTCTTCCTCCACCTGTCCTCCCTATTCCTCCACCTGTCCTCCCTCTTCCTCCACCTGTCCTCACTCTTCCTCCACCTGTCCTCCCTCTTCCTCCACCTGTCCTCCCTCAGCCTCCACCTGTCCTCACTCTTCCTCCACCTGCCCTCCCTCTTCCTCCACCTGTCCTCCCTCAGCCTCCACCTGTCCCCCCTCAGCCTCCACCTGTCCTCCCTCTTCCTCCACCTGTCCTGCCTCTTCCTCCACCTGTCTCCCCTCAGCCTCCACCTGTCCTCACTCTTCCTCCACCTGTCCTCCCTCTTCCTCCACCTGTCCTGCCTCTTCCTCCACCTGTCCTCCCTCTTCCTCCACCTGTCCTGCCTCTTCCTCCACCTGTCCTCCCTATTCCTCCACCTGTCCTCCCTCAGCCTCCACCTGTCCTCCCTCAGCCTCCACCTGTCCTCCCTATTCCTCCACCTGTCCTCACTCTTCCTCCACCTGCCCTCCCTCTTCCTCCACCTGTCCTCCCTCAGCCTTCACCTGTCCTCCCTCTTCCTCCACCTGTCCTGCCTCTTCCTCCACCTGTCCTCCCTCAGCCTCCACCTGTCCCCCCTCAGCCTCCACCTGTCCTCCCTATTCCTCCACCTGTCCTCACTCTTCCTCCACCTGTCCCCCCTCAGCCTCCACCTGTCCTCACTCTTCCTCCACCTGTCCTCCCTCAGCCTCCACCTGTCCCCCCTCAGCCTCCACCTGTCCTCCCTATTCCTCCACCTGTCCTCACTCTTCCTCCACCTGTCCCCCCTCAGCCTCCACCTGTCCTCACTCTTCCTCCACCTGTCCTGCCTCTTCCTCCACCTGTGCTCCCTCAGCCTCCACCTGTCCTCCCTCTTCCTCCACCTGTCCTCCCTCAGCCTCCACCTGTCCTCCCTCAGCCTCCACCTGTCCTCCCTCTTCCTCCACCTTTCCTCCACCTGTCCTCCCTCTTCCTCCACCTGTCCTCCCTCTTCCTCCACCTGTCCTCCCTCTTCCTCCACCTTTCCTCCACCTGTCCTCCCTATTCCTCCACCTGTCCTCCCTATTCCTCCCTCAGCCTCCACCTGTCCTCCCTCAGCCTCCACCTGTCCTCACTATTCCTCCACCTGTCCTCCACCTGTCCTCCCTCTTCCTCCACCTTTCCTCCCTATTCCTCCACCTGTCCTCCCTCTTCCTCCACCTGTCCTCCCCTTTACTCCACCTGTCCTCCACCTGTCCTCCCTCAGCCTCCACCTGTCCTCCACCTGTCCTCCCTCTTCCTCCACCTTTCCTCCCTATTCCTCCACCTGTCCTCCCTCTTCCTCCACCTGTCCTCCCTCAGCCTTCACCTGTCCTCCCTCTTCCTCCACCTTTCCTCCCTATTCCTCCACCTGTCCTCCCTCTTCCTCCACCTGTCCTCCCCTTTACTCCACCTGTCCTCCACCTGTCCTCCCTCAGCCTCCACCTGTCCTCCACCTGTCCTCCCTCTTCCTCCACCTTTCCTCCCTATTCCTCCACCTGTCCTCCCCTTTACTCCACCTGTCCTCCCTCTTCCTCCACCTTTCCTCCCTATTCCTCCACCTGTCCTCCACCTGTCCTCCCTCAGCCTCCACCTGTCCTCCCCTTTACTCCACCTGTCCTCCACCTGTCCTCCCCTTTACTCCACCTGTCCTCCACCTGTCCTCCCTCTTCCTCCACCTTTCCTCCCTATTCCTCCACCTGTCCTCCACCTGTCCTCCCTCTTCCCCCACCTTTCCTCCCTATTCCTCCACCTGTCCTCCACCTGTCCTCCCTCTTCCTCCACCTGTCCTCACTATTCCTCCACCTGTCCTCCACCTGTCCTCCCTCTTCCTCCACCTTTCCTCCCTATTCCTCCACCTGTCCTCCACCTGTCCTCCCTCTTCCTCCACCTGTCCTCACTATTCCTCCACCTGTCCTCCACCTGTCCTGCCTC